ATAGAAAGTGAACTGAACACAAAAAATCTTATTGTATTGTTTTGATTATTTATTTATTTATATTAATAATCCTATTTTAATTTGAAATTTATTGTCATGTTTGAGACCTGTGGATCAATAGTGCAGTGGGTGCACTCCCAAGTCACCATCTGCCATGTGCTAATTCAATCCTACTCAAGAATGACATATGCAATTTAGGTAAGGCTTTTCCAGACTATACCACATCACAATATACAGATCATGGGGAACTATACCATCTAAAGAAAATTACCATCTGACTATGGTTCCACAAACAGGTTATACATGTTATGACCGGTTTTAGTACCTATCACAACAATAATATTGTACCAATCAGAATATATAAAGAATAAAGAAAGAAACCAATTGGTCCACTCTCGACGATCTGGATGCCAACATCCACCTCTTTTCAAAAAACTCACTTGTGGAAGACTGGGAGACCCTGATCACTTGCACCAGTCGAAGAAATAATGGGCTAGACACATATTGGGAGACATGCGTTGTTGATTACCAATGGCTACCACAAAAAGATGACCTATCCTATCAAGGTCGAGTGATGTTGAATCAAGACTCATGATAGAAAAATGCAGGAGCAAATCCTGGGAGAAGAAATTCAGAAAAAATTATCAAGATAAACAATCTAATGGGAGGAGCAATTCACTACGAAGTAACCAAGAGAAGCCTCTAAATGATCATATTTGAAGAGTAGTTAAAAATGGTTAAATAAAAGATGAAAGTTGAATGTGATATATTATTCAACCACTGGGATCTCATATTAAATCAAAAAGTTTAGATAATAAAGGTAACCCTAGTAGTCTAAATATGGTATGATGTTTGTATCGGAATACAAACAATTCAATATCCCCATAATGGTAACATATTCTAATTCTTTAATAATATAAAAATACAAGTCCATAATGGATCCTTGCGAACATTACTGCTCAGGCAGAATAGGGGTACTGATATAATAGTACCTTACAGGTAAAATTAAGTGGATTTATAAGATATGAGATTAGATAGCATTAAAATTAGTTACACGAATTGCTCATATAATCATATGTACTGTCCAATCTAACTCTAATAAACTACTGTCAGTTACGACTAAAAAAAATAATAATAATAATAAAAAATAAAAAATTGTCGTGTTTGAATAGAAAGTTGATCAACTTGTTTAGACAACAAGTTAAAAGTATATATGTTAATATATTTATATTTATATAACAAGGTTTAGGATAGATATATTGTTATATATATTTAGACTACCTTGTCTTTAGGAAGCTTTGATATTTTTTTGATCTTGATATAATTAAAACAATTTGATTTATCAAATAGACTTAGTTGTTTTTAGGTTCCTTACAATATCAAGAAAGATATTAATCTGTATTGACCTGGTTATAAGCTATATAAAATTGATATTGACTCCCTTTTTATGATTGTGAATCAATTTTTAGGTTTTTTTTCTTTCTTCTAAAAATTTAAAGAAAAAGAAATAAAAAGTTAGTAAAATAGTATATACCTCTATCCTTGATGTTTTCAGATAGTTTAATTTGTATATGTTATAAGTACTTGATAACTTGGTTTGAAAGATTTGTGTTTTTTTCTTGTATATTTAGACTGGTTCAAAAAAAAATTTTTTTTTTAAAAAAAAAAAATATCAATTTAAATATTTTTTTTTTTTTGAAAAAAATAATATTTCAATAAATATGTTGTAATTAATAAAAGCTTTTTTACATTTATTATTAATATATTTTATGCTAATCAATTATTTTAATAAAATTTGTTATTTAAAAATTTAAAATCAAATTGAAATCAAATTGAATCAAATAAAATTTTTCAAAAAATTCAAAAAAGTAATAATAAAAAAGTAAAAATAATAAAAAAATTTTTTTATTTTTTCATTGAACAAGATCTTTATGCATTATATTTACTTTAAAAAAAAACCAGATATTCAATACTATATTATTGATTTTTCTTTTTTTTTTAAAAAACTTTTTTTACTAAGGATAGAAAAATATTTTTGACTTTTTTTAATTATTAGAAATAAAGGTTTTATATGAAAAAAAATACAACCAAGAGAAAGAAATAGAAACAACTCTTAAAATTATTATATTAGTATGAAAGTATAAAACTTCTTGTAAACATTTTTTTGTGCATTGTATATTAAATATACTGTATAAAAAATACTGTGTATCATCAATTTTTATGTAATTTATAAAATAAATTTATTAATAAAATTAGGTGATTGACTCTATTTTTAGTGAACTAATATATTGCATATGCCTGAACTATTTTTCCTTAGCAATAATGATTTTCGAAATTTTTTAATACACTTGGCGGTCAAAATTATTGTTCAAAAAGAGTGATCATTTCTAAATAGACGAAAACTACTCGAACCATCTTTCTATTCCAACCTCGTTTGGATCATCCACAGCATCCAACACCCCTAGTCGGGGCTTTTCGTAGTTCCCGTAAGCAATTCTTCTGTTTTGTATGGTGGATGATGCATCTGGCACTTTAAACCATTCACCCGTAGAGAGCTAAAATATGATATGTCAGAAATGGTAATTATTACATAAAATTCTTTGTATAATAATGGTCAAGACAATATTTTTAATAGTATACCCCTGTAATCCCTTCAAGAAAATTTCTAACAATAATTTTGCGTGCCTTACTTTCGGTCGCCTGACTCAGCGACGTTTCAAATTCCTATAAGAAACCAAAATGTAATGAAAAAAATTTATCAATGTGTAAAAGATTAAAATGATATATCAACCATATCCATACCTGCAATCGTACATGATCCATATTTAACAATTGTGCCAATGTTTCATACGGAATAGGGGAGAGCGGTCTCAAATCAATATACAAGTCTGTAATCAATGAAATAATAACAGGATGTATTTCTTTATGATATCCGTCATTCAGTGCCTGGCATATTTTTTCAGGTAGTACATTTCAAATAAGCATTCCTCTGAAATAACAGCATGCACACGAAAAAAAATGAAAGTTACTTGGAGTGCTGCCGCTAGTAGAGTCTTGCCCACAAATTCCCGTAATACCTCACGTTCAACTAAATTGGGCAATATTCTAGAGTATAACTGAGCTGTTCTTACGCATGTCACTGAATCCTTGAATGTCATAAGGTGGCAAAGACTCATCAAAAATGGTTCGGTGATCGACTTTTAATGAATCGAACATAGATAAAATTATTAGACATTTTTACATAAAGATAAAAATTAGGAAAAGATTTTTTCATTCTGATACCATATAATTCAATATATATGCTTTTAGTTCTGTATTATCTGAGGCGGTGACCACTTTATCATCTGTGGAATTAAATAATGTCGATATAACTTGAAACAGGAGTTAAAATCAAAGATTTATGATAATAGTCGGACAAGGATCCATAGTTACCATTCTGCTTCTTAGAGATAGGGGCATACACTTGATCAAATATACCTATGTAGGCTCTTGTCAAATCCCTTAGCAGATGCTCACTCAATATTTCATCTGAGGCATCACTTGTAAGATCCAGATTCGGAATTTCATTGAACCTAAAGAGCACATTGGAATAGAAATTAGAATAAAGGATTAGTTCATTATACAACCATTAATCAACTTACTCTTCGGTAGATGATGTCAAGATTCCTTTCGCGGTTAAAATTGCCCATTCGGTTGATAGCTTTTCATCCATGTATTTTAGTAGTTGTGGTAAAAATCCAGACAAAATTTCAGGTGTCGAGCAATTCAGGATATAAGGTCGAACAACTGAATGTAAACCAAAAGTAGTAGTCAAGGAAACTCACCGATCAACCATTAGATAATTAAATCACGATATAATTTTTTTAAAAGGATATTAAGTAGCATCTTCCAATGAATATTATTTAAACTTGCGACGTTTTCGAATAATGATTGGGCAATCGATTCGTGAGCATTAGGGATCGAATAAAATGCAGGTCCAAGGATCGTTAAGCGACCGAGAACATAATAACTATTAATAAGTAAAATGTTAATAACCATTATCTTACCACATTGTAACATATATTTAATTAATTACCTGTCTATCCTTAAACTTGATAACCACTTTCGAGTTTGGTCCATTATACCCTCAACTGTGCGTTGCTTACTGTATAAATCGGTTAATGGAGACTTTTGTGACAGGCCTATCAAAAAAAAAAAAAGAATAACATGATGATTATAGAGTGAGATCCATAGGTATTTGAGCACTCAATGAATACCTAAAATATTCGCCTTTTCTTCCTGGCTCAGCAACAAAATCCCTTGCAACTCAATAGGCATTTCTCTCCATGATTCAACGTTCCAAAGTTGATGGAGCAATCTATCATAAGTAAATATAGATAATATTTAATAATAAGGCGTACACAGAATTAGGTAATCGTAAAATGAGACCGAACCTTATCAACGCCAAAGTTGTGGATAAAATAGTGGGGACATATTTTCCCCACAAACTTACATCTACTCTCGAATCCATACTTCCCTATGTTGAAATTTGTTTTTCCTTGAGAAAACCAATCTGTTTATACGTCAAGCAAAACAAGATTAAATGAGGCTCACCTTTGCAATATTGTCAGTAGTTCTACGAAGCCAAATAAAAATAGTATTTTCCAGCCACATTATCTATATACATGCCAGAATATTAGCCATCTAAATTTTACATTATGTTAAAGAAATGCGAACCAACTTTTCATTTAGAGGTACCTTGGATCTGGCAACCCTATATTGTTCTAACATTTCACCAGGCACGGACTCAATGCCCGCACTTTTGGTGTAAGTGCCATTCTGTTTCATATCGTTGACTTAACGAAGATTAAAATAAAATAGGTGCGATGAGAAAAATTTTTAAAAAAGAGGGCATTTGTAACCAATAAATATACTTACCAACAGATGACAAAAGATTAATTCCAGAAGCCTCATAAAATTGCGATAAAGAGCTAATAAAACAAGTAATATGTGGCAAGCTCCATTCATTCATTGCTGCAGAAACTATAGGGTCAAATAGAATTTGTTTTTGCTCTATTGGTTGACTGGAATAGTATCTATCAAGAATTTTAAGGGACAAATGTGAATAGAAAGGCGGTAAAAAAAAAAAAAAAAAAAAAAAAATGCCTACATGATGGACAACAAAAATTCCTGCAGCGTGCTTTTTTCCTTTCCCGTAAGCATATTGCTCCGGGTATTTATGAGATTATGTACATAATTAGAAATTTCTGTATATATGTTCTAGCGTGAGATCGTAAATTTTCATTAGTGTACAAATAGTGAGAGATGAAGATTTGCTCGAATTAGAAAATATCTAATGATTTACCATCAATATATCAGGCATTGCGGTGCCAAATTTTATCAATGTACTAATTGCCCCACTTCGTAGGCGTTGGATGGGTATGGGAAGATATGGAGTGGTAGGTGAAACAGTATACTCAGGAGGAAGAAATACTGCAAAAGTAAAAATCTGAATAAATATAATTAAAACAACAATGCGCAATAGTTGGATGATCTTAGCTTTCACAGATTTGTCAATTTTTTTTTTTTAAAAAAAAAAGGAAAAGAAAAAGAAAAAATTTTTTCGTTTTTTTTTTTTTTTTTTCTGGTTAATAAAATACCTTCTGTAGAACAGGGAATAGCAACGATGAATCAATAACTAATATATCTACAAAGGAAACTAAAGCTGCCAAATACCGATGCGTCATCACAACGTCCTATAAACAATGGTTGTACGTTCAGAGATCATCTTCAAAGACGTGTAAACATCAAATAGCAGGATTGCTCACCGAATAATCGAGACTTAGCAACATTTGCAATAGATTTTTCAGGTCATTTGTGATTTGAGTCTTTTGAACCTTTTAGGTGAACAATGAAAATTTCGTAAAAATCTCCAGATAATATGAAAAACGGCCGGCAAAAAAAAAAAAAAGTTATTACTATGTTATCTTCACCAAGTCTGAATAATTTTCCTATTCCGGCAACTATGGAATCCATCAATGTCATTTCTGCTTCGAAAGTAATATAAAAAAGACTATCCGTCTTGCAAACGCCGGTCTCTGGATATGTTTATATATGCCATTAGTCGAATTCGTAAATTGCATGGATCCAGACCCGAACATGAATTCAAGAACAATAGATACCGTCAAAGTCTGTGGGGCTAGGGCTCACATTCAATGTCCGTTGGACTCTACCAACCATCCAATTGAATGATGAAATTGGCTTCATTTGTGTAATTGCTTTTATCGTATCAACAAACTTCGTACGAAGTGTTTGAGCAAAAATGCGATATTCGTTGGAATACCCTTCCATATCAATATAATAAGTAATCTCATTATCGGCATCCTCGGGTTGAAATAACTTTGAGAGGGAACAAAAGTCAGCTTCGCGGATAATGCAGAACAAAAAGTCGATCAAATATTATGCCAGGAAATACCATCTTAAGTCTCTGGGCAAAAAGTTCGAGAAGCATTAATAATAATTCCTCTTGTTCATTAAAACCCTGTATTGTGGTGATTTTTAGAATCCAATGATAATTCGTGTCGAATCATGCGCATTTTAAAAGTACCTTGGAAATGTGTGGATGCCTTAATGCTGATTGCCAGAACGCTATTGTTGTCGACGCGATCACGTTTGATGGATGTTTGGAAATCTCATATACCAACTCTAAATACCTAAAACAATAATAATGATGGGGGTAATTAGCGCGCCGCATTTTGCAACTGTGTATGAAGACACAAGCGTTGATGTTGTCAAAGGTTACTTTGGAAATTGCTTAGGTATCAAAGTGTTATTCCTGAAACAAATGTGTTTCTCCCCAATTTCTACGACCACCTATCAAAAGATAAAAAATTTTTTTGAGATCGTTGAATGTTGATGTCCAAACTGGTAAGGTTGAAACAATACCTCCGCGAATTTTTTCAAAAATTTGTATTCATGTTCTTCCAACAGTAAGACTTGTCTGGAGGGTTGTATCTTACCATATACCGCAATCAATAAGTCCACGCCGTCTTGTTCATAGAATGGTTCACTGATAAATGCTCGATCTTCTGGCGTTTGGTAGGTTCGAGAGAGAGCAACGGATAAGCCTTCAATCGCTTCCTGAAAAAAATTTTCGTTAATTTTTTTCGACGAATGAGATATTCATTTAACGCGTTGCTAGTCCGCGCTTACCATTTTTATCCCATAACAGTCACTCAACAAGCAATTCGTCAATGCCAACACCGTTTTTGTTTCGACCACGGACCTGTGTTAATGAGCATCATCGAGAATTCAGGGATCAAATATTCATTTGCAAAAAATATGCATGGAAAAAACGTACTTTGCAAAAATCCATTCCACGTGCGCGGATATAGTATTGATGGTCGCAACCGCAAGCTTCTCATGAACTAGAAGAGTAGGAGATTGATTTTGGCTCTTTAAAAGGCAAAATTGGATCGTTATTTTTTGCTACACTTTCCATCCGCAAAGACTTTCATTATGATAGGAACCTGATATTGCCATTCTGTTAATAATTGCTCGAGAGATCTGACCCATCTCATTAACCATCCTTCATTATCGGGTTCCCCTTGCATTATTGTCAATTCGCCGGCACGTGAATTATTGCTCTTTACGCCATCCGGATACCTGGCTTGCAGCGCAGATGAACTTCCTACTATACATGTTAGAGAATCTCGCAAATCTACCTCTTCAGCCAAGTAGCGAAATATTATTAGCGTTAGCTCTTGCGTGGTCGGCTGTTCATAAAAAAACCATTGAATATTTGATAAATGCGTAAATAGTATCTGAAGAGGATCACATCTGACTGAGATCAAGAAAGCTTACGCCAGCACTATAAAGATTACGTAACAACCGGTCCATATCCATCCAACGAATGGGCCATTCTAATTTTGCAATGTTGGAAAATAATTTCGCTAATTTTTCTTTGATAAATAATTTTTCCGTCAAAATATCGTATGTTCCCTAATTCGTCAAGTTCGAACTAATTTTCAGAAAGTTGAAAGGAAAAACCACGAGAAAGCGGCCGAGACTGACGCGAGTTTAGACATAAAAATATACCTGTTGAATTAATTCTACTACATATTGTTTGATCTGATCCTTTTCCGATTGATCATACTCATTCCAGTGAAATCTAGCCGAGTTTTCTATTAACTGCAAACCAAAGTGCCTGACTATATCTGACTGTCCGTTACTTTTCATAGCCAGGAACTGACCATATTGTGGTGCGTCCCGAAAATCTTTAATTGTATTGCAATACTGACAGATCAAGAAATTTCAATTAAAAAATGACAATGCGCAGCGATTTTCTCGAAAATCACCTTGTCTTTTTGAAAATCAACCTTATGAAACGAACCTTTTGTGCTTCGATCCGCTCTTCTTTTGACACAAACGGACTATGGATTATGTTCAAAGCTTGTACAATCTTAGCAAGCACTAGGAATCAATTATTTAGGAAATTTTTTTTTGAATATGATTTTCTCGGGTAGAATAGTTTTAACTTGACAAAAAACAAGTGTTTATAAATATTGATGTATATTTTTTATTTTTGATAACTTCGTAGAATAGCAATGCTTTATTTTGGTATTTACATTGAGAGAAGATACAACTCCATTAATGCACATTAACATATGTACTGCCATGAGGCCTATAAAGTACATCGACTATCTACCAGACACGCTCGGACCTGTTTATTTTGCCCTTGAACTAACGATTTAAAGAAAATAAATATACCTTGAGGATCCATGATTTAAGAGAATAGAAGAAAGAGCTTAAGTTTTATGATTTTGAATTGATCTTATATATACGCAGTGTCTTGAATGATTTTTTTTTTTTTTTTTTTTTTTTATGATGCGCAACCAAAAACGTGACCTCACCGGACCCCTCCTTACGTAAACACTTACGTATAGGCGCACAATGATGGAACTGTCGTTTGTTTCTTATATCCAATAATAGTAATAATGCCTCCTAAGAAATTGACGCCGTACCAATTTAAAGAAGCTCTTCACTATGACGCCCCGGTTAATATAAATATAATAACAAGAATGACTCGCAGAACTTGTTGAAATTAGAGTGTGAAATGTTGATTCTTTAATTTTAGGTTCCGAATTTTTTGGCAAATTTGAACCGACAAATTGACGATAATGAGAGGGCACGATCAAAGGAAGACGAGTTACCCTCTACTGACGAGGAAGATGAACTTATTGCCGAAAAAGAAGAGGAAAGACCTCAGATCGTTGTGTTGAAAGAGGGAAAGCATATGAGCGAACAAGAAGTCGAGGCTTATTTTAACAGAAAATCGGAAAATAAAAAAGGTTCGATCGTGAAATATATATATATATTTTTTTTTTGCTCATTATAATCAACTTGGAATTACCTTTATGCCTTACAAAAATTTACAGGGGAAACATTCTTGGATGATGAAGAAGTGGAAAATTCATCTCCATCGATTGATGAAAAAACCGGAAAGATTCTTTTCCGAAAGCCAACTAAGAACAAATCCTCAAAAAATAATAATCTCGCCGAGTCCTCATCTTCGGATACGGTTATCGGTTCATCGACGAAAAAAAAGTCGGTTAAATCTGATGAGTCCATAAAATCCATTAATGAAATGATCAAAGGAATGAAACGCAAACAACAAAATACAAAGGATTCATCGGATAAAAAAGTTAACCCGAAAAAAAAGTCAAAGCCTAGTCATCTAAGTTTTAATGAAGAAGAATAAAATTTTGGGTTGACATTCCATTATTATTAATGAATCAGAATGGAAGGGGCCAAAGATGTTTGCCTTAAACATAATCCCGTTCAGATGATTGTAGAGGTAAACGCACTTAACATGATTTACGTTCGCGTTCCTATGTAGTCTTCGCAATCTTACATGACACTTATTTTTCAGGTTTTCCCGCACATATTTTGATATAGCTTCAATCTGTATATTTCGTATAATATAATTTTAATATAGCTTTAAACATGCGACAACTATCTATAACTTAACTTATAACTAGATTTCAATAACGAAAAAAATAAAAAAAAATGTGAAATAAATAAATTAAATGTTCGCAACACGAAAATTTCTTCTTAAATTTTAATCTCAGGATTTTAATAGTCGAATAACAGAAATATGACTTAAACAACATAAAAATCTCAAAAAACTTATTACTAAACTTTGAAATTACTATTACATTTTAACTTACTTCCTTTCACCTACAGTTTAAACCGCAAAGTAATGGTGGCTGTATAAAATTTTATTATAACAATATACAGTATTTAATTTTTACTATTTTTAAAATACAGTATATAGCAAACTTATTAACTATTGTATTGATTGAAAATTAAAAAAATTAAGTTGTAATCCAATTAATTTATATTATATTTGATTCTTTTTTTTTTTTTATACTGGCAACTCAAAATAACTTGGTCAAATAGATATCAGAAGTCTCACAAGGATCAATGGATATACAGTATAACTTTTGATTTATAAATATTATTTATATAGACATGTCTTTTTTGATCTTGTTTTTCTTGAAAGAATATATGTGTACGTATTTGCATAATGTTATGTTTATTGAAATTTTGTTTGTTGTGATCTATGTGCTTCTTTACTGTGTAGTCAATGAAGCTTGGATGTCCTTCTGAATTTTATGGATATTTGAGTTTAGACTGATTTATCAGTCTAAATTATTGCTTGTAAGGTTTCTCTTGGTGTCTAGAAAAGTGTTAATCTATATTAATCTAATTAAGAGCTTTGTAGGATTGATGTTGGGCTTTCAAGAACTTATTGTGATTCAGTTTTTATTTTTGTTTGTTTTTCTTAAAAAAAAAAAACTTGTATAGAAAGATTAGAAGTTTTTAGGTACTTAACTGTTTTTATGCTATAACTAGTTGTTTCTATAATTTTTTTATAGTGTTTTTTTTATAAGTTAATAGTCTTTGATATTGGTTTTTTCTTGTTTTGTAGGCTGGCTTCTCTTTTTTCAAAAAATTATCAAAAAAAAAGAAATTTTTTGAAAAATTATGAATTAACGAAAAGAGTTTTTTTAGTAAATTCCAATCTTTAGTTAGAATTAAAAATATATTTTTTGAAAATTATTATAATTAATAGATTTTTGTTTTTATATTATTATAAAAGTAATAGAAAATATTTATCTATAATTAAATATAACATAATTATTGAAAAATATTAGATTAAAACAATATAATCCAGTTTTTACTAGATTATAAAAGAATTTGAAATTTATTATAAATTATTTATTTATTATAAAAATATATAAATTATTATTTAAAGAAAATTGAAATGGATATACTTTTAAAAATAAAGATTTTTATTAAGCAATAAATCTTTTAGATAGTATATTATATATAAAAAATTAAGATTAAAAATAAATAAGTTTCTTAAATAATTAGAAAAAAAAATTTTTTTAATAAAATATTTTTATTGAAAAGAGATTTTAAAAAATAAATACTTAAAAAGAACTGAAGACTTTTATTTTTTTCTTTTTATATAATATATTTATATATTGTTTATATTTTTTTCTTTTTTTTAATATCTTTTTTATTATAGTTTTTTTGTATTTTAGTGACTTAATAAGATATATAACATTGATACTGTCAGTAATAATATAATAAATTAAAAAAGTATTTGTTTAAAATCTATTATAAAACAAAATACTATTTTTAAAATTAAACTTAGAAACTATTATTATTTATTATAAATTAACTAAATTTAATTGAAAATATTTGATTATAGTATATAATTTAGCTTGAAAACTCTTTCCGCTGATCCTCTGACCACACACAAAAAAGATATTCACAAGAAGTTTTATACTTCTCTGCTAATAAA